AATCAGAAATTAGATATCTGAAACACTGATATCGTCTTCTTTGTCCCGGTCTTGTGAAACCAATACTCGGACATAGTTTTGGTAGAAGCTGGTATATTAGGCTTTTCCATACTCCGAGTACATCCTTCCTTTAAACTACGAGGCCTTGAAAACACGATTCTTGCTCAGGTTTTATTTTTATTCCAGGAAAGAACTTGAGAGCGCCCTCTAGAGCCTTTTTGAAATCCTCTCTGTGTCTCTGTCCATAAAAGTATCACATACCGGTAATATGAAATGAAAACATCTATGAAAAATTTCAATGGCTTCTCCTTGCCGATCGCTCTTGCGGTCGGTGACGTCAGGGGGTATTGTGTGTTATCCAATCACTGCCAAATCCAGATTTTGGATGTGTCACACGATTTGCTGAATGGTTTTGTGTCAGGCCTTCCTTTCTCTTCTCCCCCTCCCCCCTCCCCCATCTAAAATCTCCTCTCCCCTAGCCCCTTAGGAAGGCCTGATACCCAGGCTAGAATGTGCATGGACATTGGCATCAAAATCCTTCGACTGAATGATTCTTTTGCTGGCATAAAATCGACCCAAACCGTAAGAAAACCTGACAAACTCTTTAGAAATAAACACTTTACAAATGCATAGAAAGCTGTGCTCGGTTATTGATGCGAAATAGGACGAAAACAGAAAATACAATTAGACTCACCTTCAACAGGAATAAAATTTACCAAATCTCAAAAAGCACATGGTAAAGACGTAGGGTTAACGTCGCAATCGATATAACGCCGTCCAGCACACGTGGCTGCCGAAGTATCGTCGAACCATCTCGAAAGGACCTCGTAATCCGTCTCCTAAACGACAGTAACCGGCCGATTGATGATCATACCTCGGCTTCGGGAAATACAATCGCTTAGATCCTGGTCAGCCTCAGATTAGCGTCGGCTTTCGATCGGATTCCACTTGGGATTCCTGTGGCATTTACACTCTTTCACTCTTTCACTCAACCTGATGACATAGTGTCTACGCTTCTCTAGAAGCCGTAGACACAAAAATAAAAATAAAAAAATTGTCGGTCGTTAAACAATTGGTAATGCTGTGTGAGCTAAACTGCTCTATGAAGAGCTGGATTACGGTTTCTGAAATACTGTCTGGTAGCTCGCTAACTTCTATGAAGTCTGTATAGCAGTCTACAAAGACAATGTAGTTCTTGCTGTAAAGTGTGAACAGATCAGTGGCTACTCTGCTCCATGGTCTCTCAGGGATGTCATGTGTCTGTAGGGGTTGACTTTGATTGCGTGCTTGGAATTCTGGTCAGATCTCACAATTACTGGCCATTTGCTTGACTTAACCACTCATGCCGGGCCAGAACATACTGTTTCTAGCTTTCTTAGACATGACTCAATTCCTAAATGGCTTGAATGGATTTTGCCCAGGATCTCTTCTTGCAGGAGCTTGGGAATGAGCACCTTGTGACTCCTAAAAAGCACTCCATTGTGTACTGTAGTCTCGTCTCGATAGCGCCAGTACACTGTGATGGGGAGAGGCACTTGTTCTTTGTCTTCTGGCCACTCAGTAATAACAGTTGGCTTCAGTGTGTGAATTTCATAAAAGAAGCTTCTTCCCGACAATGCTCGTCTTTTACCACTTAAAAAAAGGGTCGCGTCTAGTACCGTTCTGACACCATATTTCACATATTTCACATTTTTGTTGTTGTTGCACAACAACAACCAGCCATTGACAAGACTAACTTTGAGCAGCCAAACTGCTCTTCTTTTTATTACCAAATAAGGAAATCTGTCAATCACAAGTTAAGCGAAACGTGGTAACTCATAACAGTACTTGGGAGTGTTGGTGATGGGTAAGATCAAGGAAGGGGAAATGAAAGACTAGTTTACCAGAGAGTACAAGAGGAGATTGCAACTCTATAAGGATCGAAATTGAATGACAAGAATAAGACATTAGTCATTAACACTTGGGCAGTGGCAGTCCTGAGGTATGGAGCAGGCATTATAGGGAGGTCAAAGAAAGAGGTTAGGTCACTGGACAGGGCCATGCGGAAAATGATGACAATGAATGGTGCACTACACCCAAAAGGAGATGAGGATAGATTGTATGGTCCCAGAGTGAAAGGTGGGCGTGCACTGATTAGCTGTGAGCGTTGTATATGGAGTGAAGAAAACAACTCGGGGTGGTAGCTTAAGAATGCAACAGAGGAATTGTTAATAGCTGCAAAAACTGTTGGTGTCATTGGAACTGAAGAAACTGTTAGAAAAATGGAATTTAGAAAGTGGTTAAGGAAATGGAAGGATAAAGCAATGCATGGACAATTCCTAAGGGATATGCCGGAAACTACAGATGCAGAACAGACTTGGAGTTGGCTTATATCCTCTGACTTGAAGGTTGAAATGGAAGCCTTTATCTGTGCAGCACAGGAACAGGCTCTCAGGACTAATAACGTGAAACATGACAGTGATAGGACTGCTGAGTCACCGTTACGTAGAATGTGCAGTGAAAGAGAGTGTTTTTCGTCTAGAAACTGAGTTTTAAAAGTTGGCTGAGAAGGAATATAAAAGATGACATCATATCATAGTGACGATGATACATTGAAAGTTGTGTGAGTTACACCAGCTTGAGAGAAAGGAAAAGTGGTATGAACTTGTACCAGAAGGTTTTGTAGAGAATGGTGAAGTAAAGCTACTTTGGGATATGAACATCCAATGTGATAACGTTGTTGAAGGAAGAAGACCTGACATCGTCGTAGTGAGTGAGAAGAAAAAAATGTATAATTGTGGACATAGCTTTTTCTGGACATGGTAGTATATGTGGATAGGAATTTGAAAAAAATCGGAAATATCAGGATTTGAAATAAGAGATTAGAAGAATGTGGGGTATAAGAAAACGTGGATGTAGTTCTGGTTGTCTTAGGGGCCCTTGAAAGTGTTACCAAGAAACTTGAAAAATGGATTGAAAAACTGGTGATTAGAATTGGACAGCTTCAAAAAACTGCCCCATTGGGAACGGCCAGAATTTTAAGGAAGGTGCTTAGCTTCTAAATACCAGGTGAGTGTACCCAGGGAACCCTTGGTTATTTATGACTCCCTCTCTTGGGATGTAATTTTTTTTTCAGCAACATCTTGTTGGAGTTTATTTCTCTTTAGCTCTGTTTACAACATATCGTATTAAATCTTCCACTTCCTTCTTTGTTGGAGATGCCATGCTGTAATTTTTATTTATTATTCACTATTGTATGTAACTTTACAATCTTTTAAAATTATTTAAGAGGCATTTAGATCATTCACATATCAGCTTTTTGCTTAAACTCAATCTGTTTCTTTAATGTTGCCGAGACTCTTAATGACTTACATGACTTCAGCAGAGTTAGTGATATACTTTGTTTGTGCATTTACCTGACAACCAACCCTGTGAAGGGAAAGGGTACATGTGTGTGCATAAAAAATAATTTCAATACAAACGTTCTTTACCTTTAGTTATTTTTCTGTTGCCGGCGGCAATGTTGCACATACCACAAGATGATTTGCTACGACTGCTTTTAGAGCAAAAATTAGTATTGAAACAATGTAAGAATTTGAAGCAGTGTCGCGAAAATGTTGCAATGATGTATTGTGATAAAATAGTGTGATTCATCCCTAGTAACATTGTTATGGTTAAAACGAGTAGGTTGCCTTTAAAAAAAGAAAAATGGTACTGGGGTGACTCCAAAAGTAACAATCAACCTGTTTTGGAGATGGTCAGACGTGAAATAGTAAGCAAACCGCAACAGATTGGAAAAGAATAATTACTTTTAATTTTTATTATTGTTTTATAACAGTTCAATAGTAACAGCTATGACAGTATCATTTTCACCAACAATTTATAAAAGGGAAATTAAGGGTCTAACATACCAAGTTTTCAGGGTTAATTATGGTTCAGTACAATACACTACTGTTACAGCTTTTAGTTTATTGACAGGCCAACTATTAGTATGAGTTGATAAACCACAATACTTGGGGAAACCAGTATCAGGGTCGGTAGCAATGCTTGTTCAGCTTGTTCAAGGTCCTTGATTTTATGATGCCCTGGCTCCTTCATCAAGCCCATCTCTTTCTGGATGCCATCCATAACTCTATCTATTGTTCCAAGGGAGCCTGCTGTTGTAAACATGTTTTCGCATTGTCTGAAATGATCAACACAGGCATTCCTCTTTTAGCGATGAACCTTCGTAAACAATGCCTAAACGTTCCCGTAGACAAATCTTCTACCAACTCTAAATGCACTGCTCTTGTCACGCAACATGAAAATAACGCAATGTAAGCCTTGCCCATTTGCCCCGATTTTTCCTTTACATAGAGTGGTCCAGCAAAATCTACCCCTACCCTCGAAAATGGTGGAGCTTCCTTGACTCTGAAATCAGGAAGTGCAGCAGTCGGTGGGGTACTATAGGGTTTCCCGGTAAACCTTCTACAAGTAACACACTCACTCAAAATTCGCTTTACCACTTGCCTACCCCTTGGGACCCAATATCTTGACCTTAACTCAGCTAATGTAGCTCTAACTCCACTATGATGAACTCTCTGATGGCACTCTTCTATGACCAACCTTGTGAATCTATGCTGTCTGGGCAAAATGACTGGTCTCCTGGCTTCACTTTCTAAATCTGAATTAACTAGTCTACCTTCGCATCTCAAAATAGCTCTGTCTTCCTTAATACCAAGCTCGCTAACTAGCTGCTTAAAATTAGTCTGTTGCTTTAATTCGCTTTGGACTGACTTCAGCCACTCAATCTCGGCGCATTTCAATTCGTCCGCTTCCAATCTTCCTGTTCGCTTCTCGTTTTGCTTTGCCTTTGCTCTTGAGTTGTCAATGAATCTCTTTATCCAGGCTGTCACTCTGACGAGTCTCTGTAGCGTGCTGTAGTCATTCACGTCAATCACACCGGTAATACCACTAACAATTTCCGCCTTTGTCATCATTACAGCCGCGCTTTTCTTTTCTTCGATCAGGCTCTCTGGGGTTCTTAAGCTTTCTGTCAACACCGGCCAATCCTCTGGTCGTTCTGTTAGCCATGACGGACCGCGCCACCAAAGCTGGTTTTCTTTTAGCTGCGGGGCTAACACTCCCCTGGAACCAAGGTCAGCTGGGTTTTCTTCTGTCGAGCAGTACGCCCAATATTCTTTGTCAGTCAATTTCAAAATCTCATTCACTCTATGGCACACGAACTGCTTCCATTCGCCCTTGTTTTGTATCCAGCTGAGAGCTGTCTTGCTGTCCAGCCAGAACCTCACGCCATCCAACTTGACTTGTGACTGTAACGCGTTCTTCACTGTGTGCATGAGCTGCGCAAGTATTCTCGCCGACATTAATTCTAAGCGCGGAATCGAAAGTTCTTTTAGAGGGGCGACTCTAGTTTTGCTAGCTACTAATCTTACATGAGCTTTACCATCCTTCGTGCGGTACACGAAGTAAACCATGGCACAATAGGCTTTCTTGCTGGCATCCCCGAACCCATGTAAATAACACTCTGTTACATCCCCTCCCTCGGTCTCATAAAGGCATCTGTCTATACAAATCTCTTTAGTTTCTGCCAAATCTTGGACCCACTTGTCCCATTTTCTTTTAATTTCTCCCGTCAAAACCTCATCCCAATCGAATTTGCTGTTACAAATTTCTTGAAAAAGCACCTTCATACCGACGGTGACAGGGCTAACCATCCCCAAGGGATCAAATAAACTCGCCAGTAGACTTAATACATTTCTTTTAGTTGCTTCCAATCCCTTAGCCTTGTCGGCTATATGCTGAAAGTTGAAATGAAGGGTATCGTTTTCACAATCCCAAGCTAAACCCAACACTTTTTCTCCCTTCGTTCCACCCTGGGGTTCTAGTTTCGACTTCGCATAAGTCTCTTCGTCCTCGAGTCTACCCACTTCCCGGGTTGTTTTGTTGCTCTCGCACGTACTGATCATTTCCTTTAGTCCCGGGTCATTGGTCTTCCACTTTCTCAGGGTAAATCCCCCCTTGGGCATTCGCTCCCTTGCATTCTTGTAAAGGGTGAAGGTTTTATCAACTGTTCGTTCCCCAGTCACTAAATCATCTACATAGAATCCCTCTATCATTCTTTTGACAAATTCAGGGTCTACTTCTGCATAGGTAACCAGATGGTGTCTTATCGTCCCATTCAACAAAAAGGGTGAGGCATTTAACCCAAAAACGACGCGACAAAACCTGTACACTACAACACTCAAATTACTGTCACACACGTCTTCGACCCACAAAAACCTCAAACTATCGCAATCTTCTGGATCCACAGCTACATTCAAAAATGCCTTTTCAATGTCCCCCTCTAGCGCAATTTTGTTCTCCCTAAACCTTACAAGAATATCGAATAATAAGGGATTCAGTGATGGCCCCGTACGTAAACAGTCCTTTAGGGAGGTCCCATTGTTGGTTTCTTTTGACGAAGCGTCGTAGGCAATCCTTAGCTTCGTGGTCTTTGCATCCCTACAAATAACTGCATGGTGGGGTAAATAATGGACGTTTCCATCCAGCTCTTCCAATTCGGACACTTTCTCGATCACCCTTGCGCTTAGCTGTTCCTTTATAATCGAATCGTATTCGTTCAAGACTTCTGGTTCTCTCTTTAGTCTCTTCAACTGACCTTTCATGCGCGACACGCTGTTTGCAAAATTACTCGGAAGGGGGTCATGCCCTAGTTTCCATGCCAACTTGACTGAGTGCCTCCCCTCCAAAAATTCTATTTTGTTCTCGAACGATTTGTGGACTTCGTCGCTACTTTTTATGCCTAAACTTTCTAGATCCCACAATCTGCTAACTTCACTGTCTAAACTAGCTTTGTCTAGACCTGCACTGTCTTGCGATATGAAGTTTACTGACACTTCCTGAACATTCGCTTCACTAAATTCATATCGACTTTTTAGGGGACCCGATAACACCCATCCCAGTTCAGTTTCTATCGCGACGGGCTCCTCCAACTCCCCCCGTACCGTTCGACCCCTTTGAAATTCCCACAAGTAGTCCGCTCCTATGAGCAGGACTATTTCGAGCTCTTCTTTAGATTGACAGACGTCAGAAAACCAAAGGTCACGTAAGTGCGGGAAATCATTTTTGACAACCTCAACATGCTCGTTTGTTATGTGTGAGATTTCCGGCACAACATAAGCTGCGAGCGCCTGCACACGACCGCCACAAAGAGGCTTTATGTCAAAACGTATGACTTCTCGCAACCCTGATTCTTTGCCTTTCTGGCCAAAAGTACTAATCGTGATCCATTCCTTTCTTTCTACGGGTAACTCGTATTTAAGTGCCGCTTTAGCGGTCACAAAAGATCTATGACTTCCAGAGTCAAACAAAACTCTTACCCTCCCTTGCGTCCCCCCCTTGTCTGGAGGGCTATCCTACATTCAGTTCCCACAAGTTGAGCGCTGACGTTATTTCCGGGCCGATCGCTATTACCTCCCGTTGGTCTATCTTGATTCCCCCCCCCCCCCCCCCCCCCCC